GAGGGCGCAGTAGGTGCGCGGGTTTCCCTCGCTTTCCCCGAGTTCCCTTCCTAACTCATTTCCGGGTGTCAAACCATTTGGTCCTTCCCTACAAAAACAGCGTCGGCTGGCTCTTCGCAGTCCACCCTAGAACTCCTCACCCAGAGCCCGGCCAATAGGCCGGTGCCCTCAGTAGACATCTTTACGCCCTCTCTTACATCACTGCAAACCTCCAATCAGTAGCTGGGGGAGGAGGTACCCAAATAACCTCCACTTCCTCCCCAAATGGCCACCCTTCTCCTGCGTCATCCCCTGATGGACAACCCACACGGCCAATCCTCGAGCACCCCGGGGCCCAGCCCCTCCTCAAGCCCACCATTCAGGACGAAGGCGAGCCACGGACCTCTCGCCCCTCTTTTGGAAATGCCTCGACGCGGTGGCTCCGGGACGAGCAAAGTTAACAACTTTTCTACAGTCGGTGCTGCCCGCCTCCGGGTCCATCCCGGATCCACTTGGGTCGCCCGGGGCGCGCGCCCACCCGGGATGGCCCACCCCGCGCGGTCCCCGTCCCAGCCCGCCTTGCAGTGGCTGGATGCCCATCCCCGAGCCCGCTGCGCTCCCAGCCCGGGACGCGCGGCCCGCAGCCGGGGGCGCGGATCTTTCCATTCGCTGCTCTCCTCCCTCCTCTCCTCCGCGTTCCGGGCCGGGCTGACACCGGGGTGGGCGGAGCCGAGAGCGGGCTGGCGGGGGGGGGGGGGGGGAGGGAGGGGAGGAGGGGGGGGAGGGAGGGAGGGAAGGGGGGAGGGAGTGGGGGAGGAGGAAGGAGCCTCCAGCCTCGCTCCACCCGCTTGCTCACGTCCCGGCTACCAGCCCCGGCTCTCCACCTAGTTTAGGGACTTAACCGGGATAGAAAATGAATGTATAAACTGGGAAAGACAAAAGCCATGTCAAGGAGATGCAAACTACGCAGAGAACTGTTTTCATGTAATCACTTGCGTTCTTTTCCCAGGGACTACAGTCTTTTAAGTGGCAGGGTGTCTTTGTTTTGTTTTTCTTGCTTTTTTTGATGTGCAAATAGGAACTCAGATTTTGTCTGATGAACACACAGATGAATCATTTGAATGTTGGCTTATCTCCCCTCCCCCTCTCTCCGCCCCGGATGACAGTCACTAAAGGAAGCAGGAGTCTAGTGGCAGCAGTCTACCCCTTGTGGTTGACCAAGGGTTCCTAGAGGGAGCTTAAGAGCGGTGGTAATATCTCAAGACCTTTGTAAAATGGATGAAAACCTGCTGCTTCCTGGATTTGGTTATTAAAAGATGATGTGTACTGCAGATACTGGGCAACAGTATATACTCAAAACGTGATGGTAAACACCTTGAGTTTAGCATTTTTTGGGAGGGGGGTTTCGAGATAGCGTTTCTCTATGGCTTTGGAGGCTGTCCTGGAATTAGCTCTTGTAGACCAGGCTGGTCTCGAACTCACAGAGATCTGCCTGCCTCTGCCTCCCGAGTGCTGGAATTAAAGGTGTGTGCTACCACTTCTCGGCTGTGTTTAGCTTTTTTTTTTTTTTTTTTTGGTAGTTTTTAAAGCTCTGTTGTTGTAAAACTTCAAACACAAAAGTAGAAAGACTCAATCCTTAAAATTTTATTTTTATTTATTTATTGTGTATGCCCATATATTCACATTACATGCATACAGGAGCCAGCAGAAGTCAGAAGAAGGAGTTAGGTCCCCTGGAACCAGGAGTTACAAGCAGTTGTGAGCCCCTGGATATAAGTGCTGGAACCCAACTGGGGTCCTCAGGAAGAGCAGCAAATGCTCTTAACCGCTGAGCCACCTCTACATCCCTAACTCTATTTTTAATCTTGTTAATGTGTGTGCACACGATGGGGCTAGGTACATGCGTGACTGTATGTACCCTCAACATCCAGAAGAGGAAGTCCAGATCTGGAGCTACAGTTACAGGTGGTTATGGGAAGTTAGTCTTGGGTGTTGGGAACCCAATTTGGGTCCTTTGTAAGAGCAATACTCACTCTTAAACATCTCTCCAGCCTGAGACTATTAATATGTATATTGTTTGTTTCGTTTTGTGTTTTGTTTTTTGAGACAGCGTTTCTGTGTAGCCCTGGCTGTCCTGGAACTCACTCTGTAGACCAGGCTGGCCTCAAAATCAGAGATCTTTCTGCCTCTGCCTCCCAAGTGTTGACATTAAAGGTGTGCCCCTTTATCTCAGCATCCCGCTAAAATTTTTTACTACCCTGCTAATTTTTTTTCAAGATTATATAATTACATCATTCCCCCTCCCTTCCTCCCTTCTAAGACTCCCATGTGCAATCCTAATCCCCCATTCCTTTCAACTTTATAGCCTCTTTTTCTTTGTGGTTATAGCTATTATGTATATAATACATATTCCTAAATACAGCAGGGTCTGTATAATGTTACTCACGTGTATATATTTTCAGGGCTGATCATTTGGTGTTGGATAACCAATCACTGTGCACTTTCTTTTTCTTTTTTTGAGACAGGTTTCTCTGTAGCTTTGGAGACTGTGCTCTTTCTTGGGGAAGAGTACTTCTACTCTCAGCATTCCTTTGTATCTTATAGTTCTTTTCTTCTTCTAGGATGGAGGCCTCATGAGCTTTTTGGTTTTGTTTTTTGAGATAGGGTTTCTCTGTGTAGCTTTGTAGACCAGGCTGGCCTGAAACTCTCAGAGATCTGCCTGCTTCTGCCTCCCAAGTGCTGGGATTAAAGGCGTGTGCCACCAACGCCCAGTGAGGGCTCAGGAGCTTTGCCTCTTCTACATTCACGTTTCTATTGGTGTCATCTTTATTCAGACACACATATGTATTTACTTATTTATTTATTTTATGTATTTGAGTGCTCTATCTGCATTATGATCCCATTATAGATGGTTGAGTCACCAAGTGTTTGCTGGGAATTGAACTCGGGACCTCTGGAAGAGCGACCAGTGCTCTTCACCTCTGAGCCATCTCTCTCTTCCCCAGACACACATTTTTAAAACATACCTATTTAATCATATTAGACAAACTATTATAATAATGTAATTTTATTAAAAGTCATGTTTTTTTGTGCCCCTGAGTATATGTATATGCACCACAAGCACATAGGGGACAGGGGAGAGAAGGTGTTGAGTCTCCCAGAACTGGGGTTACAGAGTGTTGTGAGCTGCCATGTGGGTGCTGGGAACTGAACCCAGGTCTTCTGTAAGAGAAATGTGTAGTATTATTTATGATTTATTAAAGCTTGCCTGAGGATTCGGAAAGCAAAAGGCAGCCACAAGCCATAGAAGCCAGGCACACACCTTTAATCCCAGCAGCCAGAAGCTAGGAGGTGGTGGTACACACCTTTAATCCTAGGACTCAGGATTAAGAGGTAGATGGATCTCTCTGAGTTCAAGGCCACCCAGATCTACACAAGTCTAAAACAGATCACAAGCCTTTAATCCCAGCACTAGAAGGGCATAAAAGATAGAAGTAGGGTCTTCAATAGTCAGTGTGAGGCATTCAGTCGGCAGCCACGCTGAGAGTTCGTGGGTCCCTCTTTTCAGCCTGAGCTAGAGGTAAGAGCTAGTGGTAATTTGCTTTTCTACTCTTCAGCTTGAACCCCAGTATCAGTCTCTGGGTCTTTTATTTTTTTGTGTTAGAGAAATGTTCTTAACTGCTGAGCCATCTCTCCAGCTCCTGAAATGTGATTTTCTTTTTCAAATACAGACATAGAAAAACTGAATCATTTTATTTCTAGGATTCAGTATAATTACTCTTTATTTTTTGGGAGGATTTATTTGGGCTCACATAGTTAAATTACTGTTTTAAATGCCAAACAATATTCTATTATGCAGACTTACTATAAGTTCTTTATTTCCTAATTTTGGATACTTAGTTTGCTTCTATAAAAATTCTACAGCCAGCTGGGCATTGGTGGCGTGCGCCTTTAATCTTGAACTTGGGAGGTAGAGGCAGGCGGACATCTGTGAGTTCGAGACCAGCGTGGTCTACAAGAGCTAGTTCCAGGACAACCTCCAAAGCCACAGGGAAACCCTGTCTTGAAAAAACAAAACAAAACAAAAAAGAGTTATCTTGAAACAAAATTACCACCATGTGTGCCTTGCAATTATGGAGGTCAGAAGAGGGTATGGAGGTGTTACAGATGGTTGTGAGCTCCTATGCATGTACTGGGAATCCAACCTGGGTCCTCTGTTAGAGCAGCAGGTGCTCTTAACTGCTGAGCCATTTCTCCAGTCCAGGATCAGAAGCTTAAAGATTTTTGTTTTGTTTTTAAGACAGGGTTTTTTTGTGTAGCTCTGGCTGTCCTGGAACTCACTCCATAGACCAGGCTGGCCTTGAACTCACAGAGATCCACCTGCCTCTGCCTCCCAAGTGTTGGGATTAAAGGCGTGTGCCACCACCGACTGCCAGGATCAGAAGTTTAAAGTCATACCTTGCTACATAGTGAGTTTGAGGCCAGCCCTGGCTACATGAGACCTGTCTTCTAACAACCTTCCCCTCCCCCAACTGATTAGTAGTGTAGGCTGGCCTTGAACTCGTGGTCTTCCTGGTTTTTCCTCCCCAGTGTTGGGACTGTAGGTACTTGTTATATAGGGTTTGTGCTTTTGTGGTGCTAGGAATGGAGCCCAGGGCCTCATGCTTGCAAGGCAAGCACTCTACCAACTGAGCTATAACTGTAGCCTCCTCTTTCCTTTTTAAAGACAGGGTCTCATAAGGTAGTCTAGTTGGCCTTGAATTCCAGAGCCTCCCCTGTGATCACAGGGAGTGGCCCATGCTTGAGGAACTGCATCTTTAAACTGGACATTGGAAGCGTGGGGAGGGAAACAGCTTCGTTGGACTTCACTCCTGGCAATTTGAGATTGGCTTATGCTTTCACAGTTCAAGCCAATGATATACTAGGGATTCTGAGGCCATTTGGATTTGACACCTGTCTTAAAATAGTACTACTAATTATGTCATGGTGTGAATTATGTGAACTGGGACACAGACAACATCTTCAAGCCATACTTATATTCTAGAAGGTGCAATAACAGTGCTGTATGGAATTGCTAGAAGAATCAAGCGTGACAACACATGGAGAGTGCAAAGGTTAATGCCTACACATTGCATGTGTAATGTAATTGTATGTACATAGAACTTAACTACGGTAGCATGTATTTAGCCATTTAGCCATGACATTACTATCTAAAGGTAGTTATCAAACTGTAATCTTTTTGAGCAATTCGAGTATCAAATGAATAATTTTTTGCCTTATCATTTTATGTGAGAACACAGTTGGAGAAGAGGGTTTGTACTTGAATGGCGTTGACTGGGGGTAGAAGTGGAGATGGGCTGTCCTGGTGGTATTTCCTGCCAGGGGATGGAGATTAATCTGTACCGGAGTAGAGGGATGTGCTGAGAGCATTCCATCCCTCTAGTGGCACTCACAATAAGGTGTTCTATAGAGATGTCACTTGATTTTAGCACAAAGGTCAAAAACGATATTTTAAAAGGCATGTCAAGGGAAAGGGAAATTAATAATCATACTTCCGCACCCCTTGCATACTGTACGGCGTTAAAGAGCGTCTCCACACAAGTCGTTTCCTTTGGTGACTGCGACATCCATATTAGTAGGCAGGCCAGAGTATCCAATTCCCCTCTTGGATGACTGTGACTCCAGAAACAAGGGCCTTGCACAAATTTATGGAGCCAGAACTACCACAAGACACCATCTCCGACGTTTATTTCTCTATGACAAGCTCATCTCTCCTTTTATGCATCTTCTGATCCAAGAAGCAGTCACTGACCTCCAAGATAAGAGTAAACTTTAACTTCACGGCAGTCTCCATAACCCTTTATAAGCTGTCTGGAGGAGAAAGAGAGAAGCCATCAAATACGTTTCTGAGAAAACTGGCAATGCTCGTCTAGGAGGAGACCGCAGCACAATGAGAGATCTGCGTGGCCATTAGCGTGGACACT